TATTCTGTTTATAATATTATAGAACAGAAAAAATTCTATCGAATATTAAAATTTCTTTAAATTTTAAAAAATATAAAAATAAAAAAAAAATAATGAACCATAAGAACTGTTTAAATAATGTATATATTAATTATATATAATATTAATAAAAATATATATTTAATACATATATGTTGATCATTTCATTATCATCTCTTTATTATTAAATATATTACATATTTTTGTACTTACATCTGCTACAAATTGCAAAGCGGAACGATAAGTGAGCTCATTTTTCGCACGAGAACCCCACGTAAACTCAAAATCCGTTGGATCATTCTTATTTATTATTACTTTCTCAAGATATCTCTGATTTACAAAATCCTATATATGAATAAATATCATTTAAAAATCAACTATAATGATTATATAAATTGTAATAGTTGGTATTGATTTTTACTATTGTCACTAATTGTTTGATGTCGCCAAAGTATTCATGTTGAAAATTATCATCAGTTATAATACCCAGATTTTGAAGAAAATCCCACAATATTTCTGTAAAAATACTTCACTTATTTTCAATATTATAGCTTATTAAATATTTTCTCATAAAAATTCAATATATTATTTATATCACAAATCAATATATCAGATATGTATTAGATAACATGTAAATTATCAAAAAGCAATAATTACCTTCTTTGCATGATTCACCATACATAAAAATATGAACAAGTACAAGATACAATAACACCAGCTTATGATTATCGTTGAAGGTGAGATGTGGAAGATTATTTTCTATTTTATTTACTAATATATATTTATTACCTTCAACTTCTACTAAGCTGTATCCAAATACCTTTCAAATATCATAATTTATGTGAAATTTTTAATCTTATAAATACAATTCTATTTTTTAAATGGTTTGTAAGAGCAATTAAGTAAATACATGAACATTATCATTTTAAGAATAGTTAGTATTCATAAAGTAAACAAACATACCTCAGATAATTGTATATTTACATTCTCTATAATAGAACGAAATACTTTGCCATTTCCATCTAGTACATGTTTAATAATGTGTGATTTCTGTATAGGTAGCTTGTTGCGATCTGCCATGAAAAGGTATCTTATTATACTACTGATTAGTTGCATTTCTTTTTGTGTTTCCATATCTTGCGAACTCATGATCTGTGAATCCTTGATGATTGAACTTCTAATACGTTGTGACGATACCTGGCTAGTTTGGCTGCTCGGGCCAGGATAGTCTTGGGATAAAAACATATCTTCGCTACTCTCTCTCATATTACGACTGCTTTGAAATCCTCTTTTTCTACCTAATAAACACATATCAATCCTTATTCACTATACAGAATATTAGGTTATGACAACTAATGCTACTCCGCAATTTAGAAATAGAAGAAAGATATTATACACATAGATATACATTTTTCTCTGAACTTCCTTCTGTTTCTTTTCTTAGATATAAAATTTTGAACATGAATAGTTTCATTAAAAAATGGAAAATAATACACATCGATTTTCACTTCGAACAAGTACAATATATTCTTACTCATTCTGAACAGATCATACGAATATCACTTTAGAAGTAAGCTTTGTGATAGTTTAAGAGAGATCTATTGTTCTCAAAATACTAAATATAAGCTAAAATGCGCAATCCAAACTGCTTTATCTCGAGAGATTTCGATTAAGTATCTTTCTAAAAAACAATCCAGTATCAACTGCGAAGTTTGAGCGATTTGAAGCTTGAAGATGGAATCCAGTTTAGTGGCGCCTCCATGTATACAAAACATTGAATTATGTAGCCACAGATAATTTCCACGGTAGGTAACATATCCATGGTTTTCGATTTGTTCTGTCTTGCGTTATTTGGTTTTATTCCGTTCTATTACATTCTAAAACAATATTACAAAAATAATAACTAACAATTTGCAAAAAAAGGCTAGCAAAATCATACAACAAAAATCTAGAAAATCTTTGGAATATAACAATTTTACGCAAAGAACTATGACACACATATTGTATTTTTTTATATATTAGGTGTTGGAATTAATTCGTAGCGTTTTACAAGTGATGGGAAGTACTTTCATTAATGTATTTTTTAATGCTCATGTGAAATAAATAACATTCTTTCATTAAAAAACGCTACGAATTAATTCCAACACCTAATACATATGTGTATATAATATATAAAATGATATTAATAAAGAAGATAGTATGTGGCAAAATAACGAGTTTTAATGTAAATATGTTTTAATGTAATGTAAATACTAATATTAAGTTATTAGTAAATTTTAATAAATATAGCAAATTTTAATTTTAACATTGAATCGCACATAGATTTTCAAAAAATTATATTTTATTTATTTCCATATATACTTTACGTGCATATATATACTTTAACATATTATATATTGTAGTAAATACAGGGTTGGCCATATTCGACGGAAAGATGTTTTTTTTTTCAATCATGGGAAAGAGATGTTAGATCGAGTAACGACGTTTCCCATGATTGAAAAAAAAAACATCTTTCCGTCGAATATGGCCAACCCTGTATATGGTTATCTGATTTTTATAAAAAATACATACAATTTTAATTCTTATTATTTTGCGTTTCTCAAAAATAATAGATTACAATTCGAAATCGTCTATTAATCTCAATTTACTTTATATCTGAAACTGTTGTTTTCGCATTTTAATTATTACTTCGAAAATTATAATTTGTCTCTGAATATGATGTATCAATTTGCATTACTCTGTATTCCAACATGCTCTGTATATGAATAAAAAAAGCGAAAAACTCGAAAACTGAAAGTCGCGTATAGCTTGAATTTAATTAAATATATCAAATATATGTTAACACCTTATTATTAATTAACCATAAAATTCATAAAATATGAGCAATTTTGAAGAAGCGACAAGACAATTATTAACTATTCCGCCGGATTTCGTACCATACATGGAAAAACACAGATTATATGAATTCTTTTATGTAATAAAATAAGGTCATCTTACTCCATTTAAATATTTTTTATCGATTTGATTATTTGTTATATTGTGTTGCATTTTGTATAATATGTATTTTAGATTATATTAGAATGTATCTCATTTTAATAAATCATATTATTTATTGCATTATATTATAATATAAAAAAATTCATAGGAATTAGTGACGCAATTATTGATCCAGCAGCCAGATGACCCAATAGTATTTATAAAACAAAGTGTCCAGCACATTATACGAAAACGAGATATTCCTAGAGTTATTCTTATAGCTCCTCCGAGTTTCGGTAATACATTATAGTATAGTCAACATTAATAACTAATTGTAAGGATATGTTCTTAAATATAACATGAAAGTCTGTATTAAGAGAAAAATTTATGATATTTGGCTATAATTACATCTTATAATTATAGTTACAAAGCAGTAATAATAATTACAATTATGATAATATGTAATTATAGTTACAAATATCAAAATATTTTCTCTTAATATATCTTCATTATTTTCTATATCTTTAGTATTTAGTAATAATTACATTCATAAAATGCGATAAACTTTTTGTTTTAAGAAAATTTAAAAATTTTTGTTTTAAGAAGATTTTCAATATTTGTATCTACATATTATTTATAAAATGAATAAAACAGATTTTCTTCTCTGTTGGTACAGATAAAATGACTCTTGCAAAAATTCTTCAAAAGGAAACTGGGATTTGTCCTGTTACCTTAGAAGATCTTTATGCTTCATCTCCTATTGAAGTATGATATTATCAAGTTATTTACTTCTCATAAGATGTTTGACAGACTAAAAAGTTGCATGAATTCCTTATTTTTGGTTGTACACTAAACGTTTGTTATACATAAATACGTGTATTATATTTTAGAACATGTGTCACTGCTATGATGCTAATGAGATCGCAGACAGAATGAAGAAACTGTTAATATCAGGAATACTTCATGAATCTGGATGGATATTAGTTGGTAATTTTGTTTACGTAAATTTAATTATTGTGTTTAATAAAGTGAACCTTGGATTATTATGGAAAACTGCAATATTATTGCAATATATAATATAAGTATTATAACTAATATTACAAGAAAAGGGCAACTAATTTTCTTTTTTCTCTTTTACGTAAATAAATAATCTGCTGTATAGATATACCAAGAAATAAAAAGGAAGCACGTGCAATGCAGTATGTCGGCATAATACCAACACACGTGATACAAATTATATCATCCAGTGTAGAAGATAAGACTCGAGAAAAAAGTATACTTACTGAATGAATAATATTATTATATATAATGTCTCCTTTTAAGTCCCTTCATATCCATCTCCATCTTTGCAAAACACGTTTATTCTGTAAATAAATTATAACATTCTTAGATTAATGATATTATATTAATATTTTTTTTCATATTTTATATATTAACATAATTATAAAATAAAAAAATATATTAAAATATATAAAGGA